ATATTTGATATCGGCCGCATGATGAATTCTCCAAATATTTGGAAATTCTAGCCTTGGTTGAGAACCTGTTGGCAAAGGAATTCTCCATTTTTTGTTTATATGGCCATACCTTGTCGGCCGCATGATGGACAGATGTCTTACTAATTTCCGCCTACCTTTGTCCAAGAACTCAGCCGCATTTTTCCAAGGTGCCTGGGTGAATTATCCCGCCTCCACACATTCATTCACTTTATATATATATAAAATAAGTCAATTAATTCCCAACTCAAAACCCTTCCAGTCCGGTTTGCAAAGGAACCAAATACCCCGGCCGCCATTCTCTAAAACTGTGTTTGCTCCAAACCAAAAGAATCCGGCCACAACTTCTACAAAATCCCACCGAGCTTCTACAAAAATCCCGCCGAGCTTCTACAAAATCCCGCCGCAGCTTCTACAAAATCCCGCCGTAGCTTCTACAAAGATCCCGCCGAGACTTCTACAAAGATCCCGCCGAACTTCTACAAAAATCCCGCCGAGATATCCTAGTAATTCCAGCCGTGCCCCACCGCACCTTTGCAATTTGCTTTACAAAAACTTTTGGCCACATCAATTTCAATTCCAAGCTTTGGCCGCACTCACTTACTCACTTTATAATATAATAAAAGCATACAATGATGAAGGCTTTGAATTCCAGCTTGGTTACACGTTTTGCATTCACTTTCTAATATATATATATTATATCATACTTGGAAAGCCACATTCAAGCATTACCCAGCAAATCTGTCTCCGCCTAAATAAAAACCCCATCCGCTCCATTTTGGAACTCCCAAGTCACAACACCCGGCCGCATTTTTTCCAATAGACCCGGCCGCATTTTTTTCACACCCCGGGCCGCCTCTCAAGCCTCTCACCCCGGCCGACTTCTATTCTTTACACCCAACCAATTCTTTATTTCCCAAAAGGCACCCGGGTTTGGTGAATTCTCACCACCCCCAAACAGTTTTGGTATCTAATGATAGTGTTTCTTATGGTTGTTTTCAATCAGTTTCCTTTTGAGAGGGTTTCGGGTGTTGCCTCTTTAGAAATGGGGGTTGGGCTATTACCTTTTAGGGTTTGGGGTTTTTTTTTTTTTTTTGATAAAGGAGATTTTTTCTGGTTGGTAAAGTAGTCAATGTAGAAAGTTAGGTTAGACATGTGAGTTTGCATAAGCATTTTTAGGTGGTCCCAAATCCATACCGCATTTTTGTCAAGTTGCTACTTCATTTTTTGTCTCATTGCTTGTTCTTATGTGCATTATAGTTGATCTGAGAATTTCACTATTACAATGTTTCATCATGGTAGTTTTAGTGACAATTTCTATTTAGGAGGTGATATGGCATATTTTGACTATATTGATAAGGACATGATGTCTACGGTTGAAATAGGTTGGATGGTTAAACATTTGGGTTATATGGATGGGATCATTTTGTACCATTATAAGCTACCTGCATTTTAATGCATTTTACAAAGCCACATGGACTTCAAAAGTGGCTCACTAATACACAATGCACATGAAACTACCTAAAACTCTAGTTCGAGCCTCACATTGTGATTGGTTTCATCTTTTATGCATCCTTGCCCACTTAGAACCAATAGAAGCACAAAGATAGTGAACCATGACCCTAGTAGCAAAACCCACAGGAAACTAAATCTTCTAGAAGCTTTTCTCTGCCCCTCTTCATGCTTTGAAAAGCTTTTCAGAAGCCCAAGTATAACATTCCTTGACCTTTCGCACATCTTGGGATCAATCCAATGAAAGAAGGTGCAGCTTCTTGGTTTATGTAAAGAGACATGAGCAAGCCCTAATTAGTAATCGCAACCCATTCAATCTAACCACAACAAACTTACCCCATAGTTCGCGCAGCCCCAGAAATGGCGGCCTGGGTTTGTGTCTGTCTAAAACGTTAAAACGCGAGCTCTCTTACCACAGCTAGAGAAGGGCACCTCCATTCAATTTAGATTTGAAATTGGATTTAGGGTTTCATGATTTCTGTCGACTGCCGAGATGAAGATGTCAATTTGGGGTTGGTGGGTTCAGGCTTTGGGTTTGTGGGTGAGAAATAATCCAAGCTGGCAAAAAACCAACATGCAAGCAAAATAAAGCCACGTTGGATATGCCATGTCATCACTTAATGACTCCAATCACGGACTGGGTAATGGTGTGACAAATTTATAGGTTTTCCAAGAATTCAGGTATGCTCATGAAAATTTTAGTAGGTTGGGTACTTGCTTGTAACGACCCCTAAAGGTTGGGTACTTTTATGTAGTTTACCTTTTTATTTATGAGTACAAATAATAATTAAATTGTCAGTGGGGTGGGTCCCACGACAGCCACATCAGCAGTTAATAGTTGACCACATAGTCAACTTAACGTAAGGATAATATTGGACAAGTTTGAAAATATTGGGGTGTAACTTGATGAAATTGATACCCCAGGGCCCATATTAAAAATGACCCAAACCTGTAGTGTAGGGGATCTTTTGTCGTTAGACCTTTTTTTTGGCTTTTTAAGTTGGGTAGCTAATTTCTACGTTTTTTCTGATTCGATTTTGACATTGGGTCTCTTTATTATTATTAACTTTTATGGTAAATGGATAACTCCATTACGAAAACAGTAACAAGCAAAGGCTACAAACAGAAAGAACCGAAGTCCACCGAAAATAGAACAACGAAAAAACACATGACCAATCGGCAAGATCAGTCGCACACCAGAAACATAGAACAACGGGGAAACAAAAACTTAGTCGCCCTTAGCCACAAATTAATTTGGGTTGTTATCTAAATGTCCATAAATAATAAATAATGTATCAGTAAAGTATTCATAGAGCTAGGTACAAATTCATCCACTACCCCACATAATTAGACGCTCTATATACGAAGTATAATTTATGCACTTTTTCAATTAATTGAAATCCAAGAAATAACAGCAGTTGTGAGTCCTTGAACATACCGGTGTGGTGCCAAAGAGTCTCTAATGCTTAAGTTACTTGTGACAGTAGGATCAGCATGATAAGATTTCTCAGTTCAAGTCAGTACACGTGACGACTTATTAGTGCGAGATTTTTTATTCCTACAAGGATTCAGTAAATTTTCATGAGGGTTGTAAACATGTGTGTAGAAATCGACGAACGTAACAACTATTACGTATAAGGAAAATGATTGAGTAATAGCTATATTCAGTATAATTATTTTGTATAATGATAATCTTGATTCATATGTAACGGAATACTCACACACACCCAAAAAAAAAAAAAGTTTTCCTTCTGTAAATTTGAAAAATATACAATCAAATCAGATCAAAGACGAGAGGAAAGAATTTCATATTTGTGGCCCATGCACCAAGACAAGTGGGCACCAAATTTCGACCAGGATAAAAAAGGGAAGCACCTAATGAGTGTACCAAGAATAAACTTTATTCAGTGAACCACTTTGGGAGAAAGGATAAGGCCAACAACATCATCATCTACATCTGCTGTTGCTTCACTTTATTATTAAAATTAGGCCTTAAAATTAAACTAACTATTTTGCATGAATTAGCGGCAGCTGCTGGGAAGGAAGGAATTAATGGGGATTATAGAAATAGGGTTGTTTCTGATGATCTTTTCCCACCATTACCTTGTGGCGCCTGCATCTCTTCCTCGCAAGGCCTCGCCTTCAGGTGTTCTTCTCAACTCTCTCTGCTCGCATATTCTATTATTAATTAGTTTATTCTTGGCAATAACTTTTTCCCTTTTATAAACTGTAATCCCTGGTTGCTTCTTGGTTGTAAGAACTCAAAAATCAAAACTATCTAAACATAAAAGTGAAAAGGAACACGAAAGCAAGTAATTGAAAGTTGCTGTTTTTTTTATTTTTTTATTAATACATGCTATATTAGCAGAGAGGGGAAATCAAATCTAAGACTTCGGGTGCAGTATAAATGTTCTTAACCAATTGAGCTATAAGCCCCTGCACAAGTTGCTTATTAAGAACCAAATATGGTTTTTCATGGATCAAAAAGGAAACAAGAGGGAAATAATTTTTTAAGGAAACAACATATAATTAGCTATGTCCTTTCTAGAATTAAATAATAAAAAACTAGGATGCTAAGAAGAATTAACAAAACAAGTACGAGAACTTGGATAATAAGTTGGTAGAAGTTGTAATTTGTTAGTCAATTACACTTGGTTTTATTTGTTAGTCAATTACACTAGGTTTTAACGGTTGGGTTGTTGCAGAGAACAAGAAAGGAACAAGTTCAGTTGAACAAGGGCATATTTTACATTGAAAATTCATTGAGTGAAACACAATTTGAGCATTCGATTTGAAACAGAGTTGACAATCGAGTCTATTACCATTACAATCTTTTCCAACTCTTCTTCCTCTACAAGTTTTTGGACCAAAAAGAAAGTCGCTCTATTTGAGAATAATTCAACCACCCCCAATGCCAGATAAAAAAAATTTAAACAAAATAAAAATTTATATACAGAAGTTTTCTGATTTCCTAATGGCAAAAAGAAATCTGTGACCTTGTCGAACAAGTTTCGGTACTGGTTAACTTCTAAAAGAATACGTTGCAGAATTTATGCAGGAAACCACCACAGAAGATGAAGGTGCAAATGGACATGGAAGCAATGGTAGTGATGATGATAGTGATAATAGCAGAAGCAGAATAGCACATAGCAGCAAACTTGAACATGGATACAGTCATGGAAGTGCAAACGGCAGATCAACTGGTATTGGTGAGAACGGAAATAACGGCGGGACCAGATCTCCAAATACACAAGGTTCAACTTTCGTACCTGTATACACAGCAGGTTCAGTTAACAATCGCCACCATAACAATCACCATGGTGCTGCCAACAGCAACAAGGAATGCATTGGACTGCCCACCTTGTTCGCATCCAGCTGGGCGTTTCTTGTACATCTGTATATGGTATTCTGATACTAGACAAAGCCGAAGCATGAAAAGACAGTGTTGCTTGCTATCATTGTACATAAACTGTTAGTTTGAGTGTCTCGGTTTTGCAGTTGGCTCCTTGTGAGAGTAACATTTTCCAACAAATGTTAGGAAACCCTGTATTATGAATTATTGCCTAAACAAATTCGCGTTTGTGCATCTTGTGCATCAATGATATAGAATGCACACAAGAAGATTTGCAGTATTACATGAGTTCGCTTCTTTCGATTGTGTTTGTATGAGACTAAAGAATGAGATAGCAGGTTTTGAATTTTGTGTCTGTATTCTAAATTTAAAGATCTACACCCACCGGATTTCATAACTCCAAGCCGTTTATAAGTCGTACACACTTGAACTTTGTCCCTGGATTATCACATGATTCATGAAACATGTCTGCATGCATCATTATGTTTAATCATTCAGTTAGTATGTCACAAGAGCAATCAAAAGAATTCCTTAGTAACTGCACCATTGCAAATATTATAACTCCAAAATGGACATAGGGTGGATTGCACAGATATGAAAGAAATTTTCCTCATCATATTACTCGCCCTCGGTCAAAAATTAAATCTACAATAGGTTGTTTAAGTTTTTTCATTTGCCTTTCTCAATAAATAGAACGGCGAAGCAAAACTCCAATGATTCTCTGATTTGAATCAAGAAAGGCAAATAATTGGAGAGAAGCAAAAAATACAAATCATAACGTGTCAAACCTTCTACTTAGAATTGAGTGACTTGCTCAAGTTTACGAGCCATAAAAAATTTGCAGCGTCCTTTACCACTTGATTCAATTTCTTCAATCTTTCTCTTGGATTTTGTGACACCAAAATTACTTAATTTCAATTGCCGCTTGCCATTAGCACTGCTAGAACCATCTCCATCCGTTTCATTGGATTCCCTATGAAAATAACAAAAAATATCAAAAATCGAATGTTAATTGGCACATAAAGGAGCCTCACCTGAAATAGGTAAAATCCAATATTTGCCTAATTGTAGTTAAAGTCGCAATAATTAAGTTTTAACATACAACTCAATATTTCTTTATTATTAGCACTGCAAACCATTTTGACCTTGGCTGTAGTAATCTCCATCACACATATTTTATAAAGCTTATATGGTTATTGATTATTGGTTGGCTTACGGTTTCTTGAAATTCGGGGACTACCGGTATTTCCACAGTACTTTAAAGAAAACTTTCGTCATTTTCTGTAATTTTGTACCAATATTTCTACCAATAAATCCAGGAACTACCGGTATTTCCACAGTACTTTTAACCTTGGGTATTTTGGAGCCTTGCTTCATTGGAATATCCTCAATGTCAACTCATGCTTACCCCTTTCTATAAAAAGCAGAAGGAAACTCAAAACTCACTCCATGCAGATACAAAAGAAATTGGAAAAGACAATAAATGTGCAGGTACATACAATGAACTACTAAATAGTTTGTGATAGAATTTTTTAACAAAGTGAAGAGGGACTGACCATAAGACTTCAACAATGTCTTTGAAATAGGGAGTGCATGTACCCCAGCTGAAACGGACCAATGTTGGGAATCCAAAAACCAAGTGTTTGTGATGTTGCAACCAGGCCTTAGTATTTGGATCTGTGGAAACAAAACAATAACCAGATTCCTCCAAGTACAGTAACCATATGATGTTTACAAAGTTATTGGGAAAGAAAGATAAAAGCCATAAACCTTTCACCTCCAGGATATCCAGAACCAAAGTTTTTGTGCAAGTCTTCAGCTGTTTCCTCAAGCACCCAGTCCCGCAAAGCTCTGTCTCTTGTGACCTGGATGATTGAATGAAAAGTAAAATTATTGTAGCCTCCAGACTTTCAGTGTGGAGTTACACAAGGGGAAGGTAATTACTTTTGCAACTATGCTTGCCCCACTGACAACTGGATAAAGACTATCAGCCTTCTTTGCAACGACAAACTTGACAGCAGGGAATCTTTCAGACAGTTTAGTGCTATATTTCTCAGCATCTCCCACCGTATCCACGTAAACCTGAAACATATATTATTTGTAACTTTATCAACCACTTTATTATTACCTTTTAAAAAAATAACCTAACAACGCTAATTTTGATATCTCCACTGCTTTGTCAAGCCTCATAATTTCCAAGAAACTATTTAATTGAGATGAACCTTTTCCATATATCCTCTAGAGGCTTGCACAAAACAGGGACTCAAAGAAAAAGAAGAAAACGAAAGCGGAGAAAAAGGTTTCCATAAGATTGTGAGAGAACAATAGAAACTGCATAGTTCAGTTAGCATTGAACTTGAAACAAGGTTGCACCAGGAAAACTTATCTAACATATTCTTTTATTATAGACGAAATATTTTTTAAGGTTTTCAAAACAGAAAATGTAATACCATTAAAGAGCTTTCACCTTGTTCATTGCCTCCTGTTAACTTTGTCCTACTTCTTGTTTTTTTTTTAATATTCTTTGTCCATATTGCCTTTTCCATTGACAGATCCTACGATAGTGTCTACGTGTTTCTCTTTCAGATGGCTTCTGTTACCATAATGGCACCTGTTACCAGATAACCCAAGCGCTTACTACAGCAAACTATTTATCTCACAATAGCTTTGTGTTTAGAATTAAGAATTTGCATTCTCTTTTTTCATCAATAATGTGTGGAAATTTCAATTTAAAAGTATTTGAGATCTGAAACATGCATATATGTAAATAAAAGACCTTTAGATGACCAGTAATCTTTTTAAGCTAGAAACAGTTTACCTCAGTTAGAAGAACTCCCATGTTTAGGACTTTAGTGATAAGGCCAATGGCAGAGTCATGTGAGATTTCATTCAGGTTTATCTTATTTCTGTTTTGAAAACAAACAAAAGAAATCGGATAAGAAAGCGGTAGCATGTGATTGACTTGAGAAAAAGTATTCATATATTTTCACTGACTTCTTCAGCATTTTGGCTGAAAGTTCCCTTGGATCTATGATATCAACAGCCCACCCAATGGATTCGTCAGCCTTCAAATTCTCAAATAATTCCTCCCTCTTCTCTTCTTTCAGTGTCTTCGAATCTACAGGAAACAAAACAGAATAAACAACACAGGAAGGGGTGTGATTTATGATGCCATATTGAACGAAAAAAGGAGCTCAGAATTTTCAGATAAAAAGAGATTCACTCTAAAAGGCAAACGTAGAGTCATGGGAGACACTAAGTAGAACTTTGCAGATGAAAGGGTCATTTCCCCCAATCAATTGGTTCTAAGGAAGGCATCCCAAACATCATAAAACTAGAATATGGTGTGAAGTAACACAAGTGTGAATCAGATCTTTCATGTGAACTTGGCCCACCAAGCTAAAGCTTAAAACTAATTTCCATACAATTGAAGACAATATTATGAGTTCAAAAGCAATGAAGACTCAGGTGATATGTACATGTGATGTTCAAGTATTTTTGTGCATATAAAAAGAACATAAATCTGTGGTCATCCATTTTCTTTAGTAATAATCCAACTGATATATTTGATGCATCATAAGTATTGAAATTCGAGAATCTGGATCAAAGCCATGACTCATTTCCACATCTACAAGTTTGACATGGTGTGCTCAATTGACCTGTATTTCACATAATGATATGTTTAGGTGACTAGTTGATTTGAAATCTTGTCTTGCGTGGTATTGACCAGAAGGCGAATATTGACAGTTGCACTTCCATTTGAAGAGCATATCTCCAAAATCACAGAAAAACATTGATGTTTTCTTTGGGGTTAGACTAATCATTATAATATCCAATCCACACTTGTACCCCTTTTTATATTTTATTTTTCGAGTTTATGACTCAACAGCTGATTTGACTCCTTTGTTTTGTGCTTAATTTTATTAGCATAACAGTTAACATCATCAGATCACAATGAACATCCATCATAGCATAACAATTTCTTTTTACTTCCGACAAATCATAGAAAGTGCAAGTTCCTCAACTTTCAAAGATAACTAAATCTTAAAACCAAACCCCCACCCCCAACACCCCCTCCGGCGCGGGGAATTAGATTAAAGCTAAAAATGAGTAAAGGAAAGGACATTGAAGAATGAAGCTAAACCTGCAAAATTCAAAGAGGAGAGAGTCTTCTCATACGAGCGAGGACAGTACAAGCATCCGTACACCATTGGACCTGTTCTCATTGGACATACAGAAAACCAAGTTGAAGTGTTGTGCATATGTAAAAATGGAAAAACAAATAAACATGGAAAACGAGAAGAAAGCAGACCTAAAACAGGGCCTCGGCCAGCTTCATCGATGCCCATGATGCAAGGCTCTGAGGTCCATTGGGGGATTGCGGCGCCCGATCCCATTCCACAACCACGCTGACTCTTTCCTTCTCTTTCTCAGGCCTTTGCGTTTCCTGTGAAATGTGACTGAGGGTTTTTCTTTTTCTCGAGAAAATGAGGTCAAATTTCAAGCGGAGTTCATGAGGTTTGGGAACTAACCAGAACTGTTGGTCAGCAGAAGACAGAGTGATAGTGAGCGACAGAAAGTGCAAGACCCTTCCAATTTTTTTTTTTTTGTTTTTTGTGTGGGTTTTATCAAAAAACATTAAATAGGTTTTTACTTTTTTTTTAATTCCTCCAGGTGAACTTTCGGGTTCAAGTTTTTAATGACTTTTTTTCTGTGACATAATGCAGTGGAGGGATTTAGTTTCGGACCAAAAAACTTTCCGATTCAAGTTGGGGATGCCGAGGAATGGGAAATCAAATTAACTACCCCTAGTTAGGCGTGGGTACGGACCGGTTTGGTCCGGTTTCACCCTCAAAACACAGCTGAACCAATTAAACTTTCACGGTCCGGTGTGGTTCGGTTTGAGCTAAAATCAAAATGAAAACCAAACCAAACCATTCATATCCGGTTTGGTGCGGTTTGGTTCGGCCGGGTTAGGCATAAAAGAAAACATGCTTACAATAACACAAAACCTGTTAAGATTTGTATTCCATCAAATAATCCTAAAACTGAACTTGCTCCTAACAAACATAAACATTTTCATCAAAGTTCATCCAAAATTCCAGCAACAAACTTCAACATACAATCACATATTTTCAAACAAATACAAACAAATTTCAATACCCAATCGATTAATACAATTGGAAATTACATACCAACTAGTCAGCTACAACATTCATTCTGATTTTATCAAATTAATGCAAAGAACAAAAAGTCAAACAAACACATTTCTTCTTATTCTTCTGCAAGGCATTTATGAGAGAACCATTAACCATATACTCTGTCCTTGTTGGCACAAAACCTCCATGCCCATCAAGCACAACACCATAGAAGCTACCACAAAGAGGTGGTGCAAATGTATTCTTGGACTTCCTTTGGACACATCCTCATCTTCCTGTGGAAACGAGAATTACATAGTCAGGGCTCGGAAAACTTCTTGTAAAGTCTAAATCTAACATGATCTAGTTCAATAGATGTGAACAAAAAATATATTCATCTATATTGGTTATACAAACTCACAACCTGATGTTTTCCAATAAATAATAAAATGCCTCCATATTATTCCAAACTGAATGACAAATATAGGAACACAAAAGCCAATCAGTGATCCTAAATATAAACTGAACTAAAATTTTCATGTATCTAAAAGTTCTAATCATTAGTATTGAATTTCAGTTCTAAGTGCAAAATTCAATCAAAGCAAAATCGGAAAAAAAAATAAAAAGTTCCCACAATAAAAAACTCCAAGAGTAGAACTCCCTGAACAAGCACATAGAACTCCAGAACATAAAAAATCCAGGAAAACCCATATACTAAGCTCAAGACAGACATACAACATGAATTGGGTTTGAACCCAATGAACAGAATACTAATTACCAGAACTTAAATAAACACCAGACCAATTACATCATAAAACAAAAACCAATAAACAAAATAACCCATAAAGCATTTCAAGACAGAACCAAAAAGAATAAAGAATAAATAGACAGAAAAAACTTACAGCATGAGGAGGAGGAGGAGATGTTTTGGAAGGTTTGTCAGAAATGGGATTGAGCAAGACAGTGGTGAGATTAGATACAGAATACTAAGCTCAAGACAGACATGAAGTGGTATGAGCTATTTTCTCCAAGCCCCATTGAGTATGAGCAAGACTTTCTGGCGGCTGCTTAACAACGTTGGGGTTTTTTTTCAGATTAGGTTTGAGTTTTGGTTGTAGAGAAGAGGACAGAGGCTTCAAATGTGAGTGTAGTGGAGGGTTTTCTTGGTTTTGTTCTGTTTTGGGGTCCAATTAGGTGTGAAAGGGTACATAATATGACTTTCTACTAACCAATTGTTGTTTGACACATGTATATTAAATAAAATTAATATTAAATGGAGTTATATCGGTTCGATTTGGTTTAGGACAGTTTCAAAAACACTTAAACCGCAGCTGAACCAAACCAATCCGGTTCGGATCGGTTTTTCAAACTGTTGACTTTTTCTTTGGTCAAAACCAAACCAAACCAAACCAATATAATCCGTTCTGCCGGTGTAATCGGATCGGCCGGATTGATGCCCACCCCTACCCCTAGTTGATTTGATTTTTATTTCTTGTCTATTATTGGTAAGTAAATATGTGTAACACCCCGATCCAATAAATTGTTTTTATTTAATTATTTAATTGTGCAATTACATTTTTTGCCCTTTAAGAATAGGGGTACTTTAGTCACTTTTTGTTTTGGAAGGATTTTGGGGAATTGAGCGGCACCGTTGCATAGAGCTCGCTGATATGAGTTTGTAGACAGGTGGCATGTTCAATTCGAAGTTAAAACGAAGAAGTTATGATCTACGGAAGTGTAGTAGTACAACCGTAATTTTTGTAAAGTCAAATTTTAAAAATATCTGCCAGCCTTCTTTCTCTCTCATTTCTCTCTCTCCTCTCCCGACTTTCTCTCTCTTCTCTATCTCTCTTTCTAGTGATGCTGACCCTTTCAGCGGAGACCAAATTCGACGATTCTGATCCCAAAAGAACTGTCTCTCTCTCCTCTATATGACCCACCCAATTTCCAAACTCAAAGACCTAAGATTTGGCGGTGGTTTCGACTGGAAGTTTCGATAGAAACTATTGACATTGCCGGCGACATTTCAGTCCCCTCCAAGCCTCGACACCACCTGGAACAAATACCCATGCTTCTAGTACTCCAGAGGAAGAGCCCTCTTAGGATTGAGCAGTGTTGGACTTGTTGTGAGTGGACATTTATTTTTCAAATATGGAATTGCTTGCATAAATGTGATTTGATTGTAAATTGGTTTATTTTAGGTTAATGAGGTTATGAGATTTTAATATCGAGCTAGTCTCGGCTTTTACAATGTGATTTGGGATTTCCATGGATTTTTATTATTATTATTATTATTATTATTATTATTAAAGTATATGGATTGGGCGATATTGGGTTTGTTTATGGAATTTGAACATGGGATTTGGTTTGTGTGGATTTTTTTATCAATGTCTTATAGGATTTTCGGAGTTGGTTATATCTATTTGTTGAGGCCCAAAATGTCATGAGAAGCCCAAAGATATTTAAAGCTCAATATAACATATAATGTTGGTCATGTGTTAATCCAAGCTGTATTTTAGGAATTAATTCATTAAATAAATATAAAAATAGTGTACATGTCATGTCAAACCAATAATACATTTTTCCTATGCTAATCACCTACCAAGTCATGTGGTTCACGGGGCTTACACGAGGGGTTGTGGCGTGAAAGGTTACTGAGGTCCGCAAGGCCCACGGAAGCTCTTGGATAAACTTTAGCTACTTGGGAGCACCAAAGTCCAAGCCCATTACTTGGAGTTCTCCAATGTGGGTAGCAAATGAGATATCCTTCAAGCACTCCTTATTACCCTCTAGAAACAAGCCAATTCCGACACTTCCTTTTACTCATAGGAAATAGTCAATTTCGACACTTCCTTTTACCCTTGGATACTGGTTACTTTACCCACACTTGAGATGAACGATGTCGGCGTGTGGGCGGATACTGTTACTAGATACTGATACTTGGATACTGATACTTTACCCTCACATGCGATGAGGGATGCCGGCGTGTGGGCGGATACTGGTTACTGGTTACTTTAGCACACGTGTGATGTAGGATTCCGACATGTGGGCCCACATGTTCGATGAAGGATGCCGGCATGTGGGTTGAGATTCGGCCACCCTTGGCGAGGTGTGCCGTAGGCGCTTGACGGGCAGTCTGCATGCGTAGGACTTGGTTTGGTTTGGTTGCAAGTACGATGTAGGATTCTAGCGTGTGTGCTGTGGAGCGGTAGTCCCCCAGTTGGACAGCTCATCCCTAGTCACAGGGTAAAATGTTGCTATCCTGTGGTCTAGTCAAACAATCCTCCTGTTTGTGCCTAATAAATCACGGCCATGAACTGACCGAAGGAGGCCCTTTTCTCGGCCCTGGCATTTGCTCAAACGCAGCGTTTCGCCAAGATATTTGGCCCTCCTGAAGACAAAAGAAAAGTTGCTAAGGCACGATTATCTCGGCCTCGATAATAGGCCGAGGCCGAGGCCGAACAAAATCACGGCCAATGGTATTAAAAATCAAATCATCACGTAATAGTAGGGTCCCATGCTTCATTTAATGAAGAAATGCCTCTGTTTATTGCAGCAAACCCACTGGCCACAAATAAGCATTTAATGCACGAGGGAAGGTGGGAAGTGACTGAAGTCAGGTTGTGGCGACAGGAAACAGAGTGATTAGACGCAGACATTCTCACAAGGATTCTTACAGCTTGAGAGATTGGGTGACCAGCTATCAAAACAATAAATGCGTCCCCACGGCCAGAGGCGCAGAACCCACGATCAGGGCGGCGGCCAAGATTCACCAGGATTTATGGGGTCACACCACCATACTTCACGATCCCAAATGTCGATTGGACTACCCACTTGCTCTAATCAGACTCCACTATGCAGGATTTCAGCCTCGATTACTCCTCCAGGAACTCTTCCTATAAATACAAGGCT